CCCCCCCCGTGCTCGCCCTTTCCCCCGGTCGCTCTTGCTGTCCCTCTACCTACCACCCTGCACGCACAGGCCGCCGCTCGCTACGATCAGGATCGCTTTGGTGTTGTCTTCCGTGCCACCCCCCGTCAGGCCGATATCATGATTGTTGCCGGTACCCTGACCAACAAGATGGCTCCCGCCCTGCGCCGTGTCTACGAGCAGATGGTGCGTCCTCGCGTTTGCTCCTGTCCTGCTCTGTGCCACTTTGCCTCCGCGCGCGTGCCTGCCTGCCCCCACTCACAGTGCCATGTGCCCGCCCGCTCGCGCATGGTCCTTTCCCTTTTTTGCCCCCTAGCCCGAGCCCAAGTGGGTCATTTCTATGGGCTCTTGCGCCAACGGTGGTGGCTACTACCACTACTCGTATGCCGTTGTGCGCGGCTGCGACCGCATTATCCCCGTGGACATCTACGTCCCCGGCTGCCCGCCCACCGCCGAGGCCCTGCTCTACTCCTTCCTTCAGCTCCAGAAGAAGATGCGCCGCCATCGCATTGTCAACATGTGGTACCGCAAGTAAGTGCGGCGTGTTTCATGCTCCCCCTCCTTCACCTCCGCCTGCCCGGCTGGCACACCGCCGGTGCTGCGGCTCCCCCATTCCGGCGGTGGCCATGGTGGCGGTGACACCGAGCACGATAGAGCGAGAGGGCGGGTGGGACCCCCTTTCTTCCCCTCCCTCCGCGGTGGACGCGCGTGCGCGCCCCGACACACACACACACACATACACATCTATATATACCCCACATACACACTCACACGCGCGTGCGTGCGTGCGTGCGTGCGTGCCCACCTTCAGATCCATGCGACCAGCGGTGGCGCCCGGGCGGGAGGAATCCGTTGCGCAGAGCACCGTCTCTGCCCCTTTTCCCCGCCACCTTCCCGGAGAAGAACTCCCCCTCTCTCCCAACACACAAATATACAGCACTTGTACATGCGCCGCCTGTTTGTGTCTGCGCTTTTGCGAGTTTTGCATGCGCGCATGTGGCCACATCCATGCGCATCTCCCGACTTCTCCGATCTACACACGCAAACGCGCAAAGGAGAGCGAGGGGCAAGGACAGACAGGGGAGAACGCCCCCTGGGGTTGAGTGTTTGTCTCTGTATTTAGGGGCTTTTGGGGGGGGGGGGGGGAGGGGCTTCGCCGGCCTGGGCATGTGCGGCGTCAAGAGAGGGCGAGGGGGCGAGGGGGGGAAGGCGGAGGCCCAAGGTGAAAGGACGCAGGGAGGGCACATGCACCTGGGCAAATGGGGGAGAACCCCCCAAACAGGAGCGAGGCAGCGTCTGCCTCCGCCTCCTCCCTGGCCCCCCACACCAGCCCATGTGCATGAGGGGATTGTGTGAAAAGGAAAATGCACAAGCACACGCGCCAAACACAAGGACACCTCAGTAGTCCAGGGACATGAGCTTCCGGCGGAGGATGTCGCGATCCTCATCGTACTGGGCATACGTGATGGTCATCTTGCGGAAGGACGACAACGCGGCCAGGATGGACCCGCCCACCCAGGCCGAGCTCTCGCGATCGGCTGCCGCGTAGATGCGCACCTTGTTGGTGGGCCGCGAGTGCTGGATCTCGCTGAGCAAGCGCGAGCAGAAGCCCGAGAAGAGGGTATTGCCGCCGGACAGGATGATGTTCGAGTAGAGGGACTTCCGGATGTCGATGTCGCACAGCTGGATGGACTCCGCCAGCAGGGTGTGAATCCCCGGGGACTCCTTGCCCATGACATGCGGGGCGAAGATGGCCTCGATGGCGCGAGTGGGCTCGTCGGCGATCTGCGGCAGGGAAAACGGCGTAGACCATGGGGGTGAGGCGGAGGGAGAACGCGGGGACAGGGAGAAAATACAGGGCGGCGGCGTCAGACCCGGCGGCGGGGGGGGGGGGGGGGGGGGGGGGGG